AAGAAAGATGAAGTTGTTCAGGAAAAAATGGTGGGGAGATATAGGAGTTGGAGGGGAGGGAGTGGGTGTAGATTTGATCAAAACACCTTATATGCATGTATGAAATTCTCAATAATTTTTTTTTAAAGTTAAGAAAAATGTTCTTGCTACCAGGTATGGTGGCACAGGCCTTTAATCCCAGGACTCAGGAGGCAGAGATAAGCAGATCTCTGTGAGATCTGGGATGGTCTACATAGCAAGTTCCAGGCCAGCTGGGGCTACATAGTAAGACCCTGTTTCAAAAACAAAACAAAACAAAAAACTATTTTGCCTTAATTTATTGTACTTAACTGCTTTTATCATCTGCCTCACTTGAGTAATTTTAAAATCTACTGATTCTGAAAGATAAAAGCCTATTTAAGCTATGCTAATTTTAGCTATTGTAGCAAATAAAACCCAAAATCTCATTGTTTAGCACAATAAAATTTTACTTCTTAGACATGTCACAGTCCAATTGATGTAGGTGCTCCTGGATGGTGGATGGCTCCCCTTCTCTTAGTGGTTCAGGGACCCAAGTTTCTCTCATCTATGGCTCCATCATTCTCGAGGATCACAAAAAGTCCCTCACTTAGGCTGCTGGTGGGGAAGAGGAGTAGAGAGATGCCTCGTGCATTCCTGTGACGCCTCAGCTTGCAAATATAACCATTCACTTCTGTTTTCATTCCACTAATAGGGGCTAGTCATTTGAACACCTGAATAGAATGAACTTCAGTAAATACAATCTGTAGGCCATGAGGCCACCTTCAATTGGTGACTGTAGTCCAAGAACTGGGGGCTTGGATTTCTATGAAATCCTGTCTCTGCCTGTATATTTGAGGGAGGAATTAAGCCTTATAAGTAAAATTCTATTCAAGGACAATTAGTTAAGTAAGCTCATGCTCTGAAATCACTGTGATAATAGATTGAAAACCCATCCAAGTGCATGCCTCTTTTGTGGACTTATTATGATGTCTAGCAATGTCCCTGGACTCTCTAGGATATACACTGTATTGATGTAACTATGACAGCAAAGTGCTGCAGCTTTCTCTTCTCTGGAAGTTATACCTAAATGACCCAGCCACGACCCTCTGATGAGTTGAAGCCAGAAAATTAAACATCGTTCTATGAGCCAGTGACACAGTTTTATTGTTGGAATTGGAAGATTGGTTCTTTCTGGTAAATATCCTGCTTATTTGTGATTCTAGCTTCTTCCACTAATAAACCCTAAAACTGTGATGAACTGTTCTGAAACCAAAATTATTTATAGTGAATGTTTCTCAAAATTGGGTTAAATATATATATATATATATATACACATATACATTTATATATACATATATATTTATATACTCATTTAATTACATGCAGAGCCTTTGGAAAACAGCTTTCCTTAAAGGATTCTTTATGTATTACATTACTAAAAATTAGGCATTTTGTGGTCATTTTATTGAGAAAACGTACGGCTGTGGCCGAAAGCCGCACTGAGTATGTGAAGGAGAAATAACCAAGTCATGCTCTGTCATGGAGCTGGGCTATAACCACCCATCTATCAGCATTGTTCTCTGAGAAAAGGAGATCTGGTCCGGTTTCGTAGGTACTTCCTAATGTGACCATATGGGAATGACAAAGACTCTCTTTGATTAGGTATGTGAACCTAGTTTCCTAAATGGAGCCAACCTTTTTTAAAAACACTTATTTTCTTATTTGTTTATTTTGTGTGTATGTGTGCAGATGCATGCACATCATGCACAGGTGTAGAAGTCAGAGGACAACTTGCAGAAGTCAGTTCTCTCCTTCCCCTATGTGGGTTCCAGGGATCAAAATTAGGTCATCGGGCTTGGTTGCAGGAAGCACTTTTACCTATTCAGCCATCTCATCAGCCTGTAAGTAGATATAGCCTTAATCAGCCTGGAAAAGTACTTACAACTGTATTTACTTACTATGAGGATGATGATGATGGTGGTGGTGGTGGTGGTGGTTATAAGCATGCCCTAAGCAAAACTCCCAGTGTTTTCCAAGCGCTTCCCCATTTAATCTTTGCTGTTCATCAATGCAGTAGGTAGGTAATAATTTTATCCTCATGTTATAGATGAGGAAACTGGGGCAATGGAAGCTAATTATCTGCCAGCTAAATAGATGAAGACAACCTGCCCAGTGGATCTGCTGTGGCCCTGGGACCCGCTATTGTGGACCTTGCAGAATTTATTCCAGTGGTCATATTTTATCAATAAACCTTTGGCCCATGTTGTGAGGCCTTATGAGAAACAGCCTTACAAAACTTCCTGGTTCATGATTAGGGCATATTTTATTCATTACAACATCTTTAAAAATTCTATATAAGAAACCACAGGAAAAATTTCTACTAAGGGAGGAATTGATGTGCTTCCCCAGAGAAATCAGTTTGTGTGTTTTGTGTTTTTTTTTAAATGTGAACACTGTTGTTTATGATCTTGTTTCTCACTGTATAAAATTCAAAACCCAATTTGAATCACATATCTGGCATACAGGCTGGACTACTGGTCATAACTTCCTTCTACTCTTATTTCCTCTTTGGCTAGGTCCTTCATTTACCTTGTCTTCATCATGCAACCAAAAACCACCTAAAATCCTTGATGAGGTCAAGACTGGCCAGGAGTCAGACTGAACTTGAATCTTAACCAACTGCTTTGTCTTGGACAAGTTAATATGACAAGGTTCAGATAACTTTCTTTTCTAGAATGCAGTACTACCCTTTTAAGAAAATGGGCAGAAATTGACAAAAATATATAGAAATTACAGAACATGGTGCCTAGTACACTGTGTTCAGAAAGCATTAATGATGATGTTGAGTGTAGTATTAATGATGATGGTGGAAGCTAGGCAGCAATAAAGACAGAAATGAATTCCACAGGTCAGCATTAAAGAATGGCACCCTCTTACTACCACCCCACCAGTTGTTCCCTTGGCCTTTAGCTTGGCATACACAGATGTGCAAAGACTATGTGCAAATATACAGCTCTGTGTACACAGTCGCACACTCCAGCGATGTGGAAAGGGTGCTGGGATATGAACACAGTCCCCTTTCTATTGACTCGGAAACAGACAACTTTTGGACTTGAGAACCTAACCAACATTAAGCATCTAGTTCCCCCCAAACTCCCTTTGACGCTTTTGTGGGTGCAGGTCTCTCTGTATTTTCTTCCTATTAGTAAGCAAAATGAACAGCCACCTGGTGGCCTTATGACAAGCTGTTTATACTGGCTTAGAAATCTGCTGACCCTTAGGTCTCCAAACAGGCAAGCTCCTCCCACATGGTGCTCACCGCAGGCTAAGAGGGAAGCCTCAAATGAAAGCTGCTTATAAACAAGTCCAGAAGGAACGTGTTTTGCCCTTCACCTAAAAAGGGATTCTGGTTTTTCTGATCTCTCTCCCCAGCTAAGGCCCAGGGCCGCCAGGGTGG